CTTTCTCCAACCGAACTTCAAACGCATGAATGACATCGATTGCGAGCTCCAACCAAATGGCAAAACTTTCAATATTTGGTTGCGGGTGATAGTGCGACGCCATATTGGCGCTGGCGTCACACTGTTCACATGCATGCGTTATTTTTCTGTCTCTACCGGATTTGTTGAAGAAACGCGCGAAAGAGAAAAAGACAGCTACCTTCTACAAAGGGCGCAAAATGAAGTTCGATTGGAGAAGAATCGCACCATTTTTTAGTTTCACCGTATTTTGAAGTGAAAAATGAGATTTTCGGTTGGAGATGCCCTAAGTCCATCAAAGATCTTCCATTAACTCATGGATCCAAGGAAAGATGCGCGCTACAGGCATTCCAGTAGTGGACTTTATATCCATTGAAAATCACCATGAAGACCTTGAGTTCTGTCTTTCCATTTTGTTAACTTGCATGGATTACTGCACTGCCCTATCAACGTTATTATATCATCGTTTGTTCAGTTACTATACTTTCTTATCATCGTTTATTCTATTAACACTTTTGCTTTCCCTTGGATTAATTACCTAATTGTTGGTCTTTGCCCTACCAGACATATTTTGTTGCTGATGATTGGCTTATTTGTGGTTCGATTTAGGCTTCGTTTTGGACGGCTTTCTTGCTGCTTCTTAAAGCAGAAAGTTGCTTTAAGAAGCATCAAGAAAACCATCTCAATCAAAGCCTTGAACTCCATTAAAGTTCGAAACAATCAGAGATAAAAATTTCTTGAAAATAATAAAAAAATAGTGACAAAATTTGTCTCAAAACGAAGCCATAATTAGGAGTAATTATTACTCCGGACAAAAAACCGGAAATCCGAACATATACCGAGCAATACCGAGTGGTCAATAACGAGTTTCAGGTGATGTGGCGCGTGATTATTGGTCTCTGGACGCGTCAGGTGACCTGACGTAATAATTGCTACATAATTAGAGACTATTTTTAGAATTTTTTTTAACGACCTTGTACAATCCTTAAACAGTTAAACTCATTATCATATATTGATTTTGCTCAATTATATAAACTTATTCAATTTTCAATTAGTATTTTCTTCCCAGACTTAAAATTGAGTATTCTTACTTTAATAACATATAATATTCGCATATTAATACATTAATTTCTGCATTAAGTTCATTAAACACATGTAAATTACGTGATTAATCAATCATTATCTTAATACAAGCCTCTTTAGAACTCTAATCACAGCTAATCATCCCTCCGCGGTTAACCCTCCAATTAACGACCGTTACCTCCGCTAAAATCTAAACAACTTTATCTAGCACCGCGGAACATCTCAACGCTCCCGCGGCTTCCGCCCGCCCCACCTGAAGCTGAACCGCTACAAGATAAGAAACCCGACAAGGGACCACCGTCCGGTTGGGTTAATTCTGCACCACTGGCACAGTATAAGCTCATAACTGTCAGTTTAGTGGACAACTTCAATATTTCACGCTGTAGCCGGGCCCACCAAGTTCTGCCCGAGTAAGACGGCGTCGGCGTCGGAGGGCCTACGTTCACCTCGCCGTGAGCGCCGGCAACATCCGTTAATGGCCGTTATCCGCCGCAGGTTTTGTTCCATAGGCAAGCACAATTTTAACGTGAAAAAATGACAATATAAAAATTATATGTTTTATGACTTATCATTTAGTTTTTTCAGAAAATTATAATTTTAAGATGATTACAAAATTAATATAGCAAGATTTAAATACAAAATATATAATGTTAATTAAGGTTAGATATAATAATATTTTATAAATATAACAAATATTGAAATTTAAGATAGAATAATTTATCATTAAGAAATAAATTCAATACAGTTTAATAAAAAATATAATATTAATCTAAAAATAGATATAATAATTTTAAAGCTTTTATTAATTTAAAATATTCTAAAGTAAATCTTTATGAATAATTTTTTAGACAATTATATAAATAACACTCAAATTTGTGCTATTTACAATATTAACATCCTCTTATATTCTTTTTTTTTTTTAAATTGAAACTCATATATTAAAAGGAACTATAAAACTCCTTAAATTTTTTCCTACATCAAATTCCAAAATTCAAATATTTTGATTATGTCATAAATTTAATAGTTAAAAAAAGTAAAATGTCTGGTAGTTTTGTAAATAATTAGATTTACATAGTTCATTTTGATCTGTTGGTTGTAAGCTTTAGCTAGCAATGAATAGGTCTTGAATTCTAGTCTAATATATATAATATTTATGAATTTATCTTAGTTAACTTAAATATCGTATAATCAAAATGTTATTTATATAATTCTACCTATTTTAAGGCAATAACATATACAAGGGCGGAACCACATGTTGTTTAAGGGGCGGGCCCTCAAAAAAAAAATTTATAGGAGTAAAAAAAAAATTATAGGAGAGTAAAAAAAATTTTCAGGGTAATGTGCTAAACAACTTTCTTATTCAAGTGATTGATAAGTTGCTGAATGAGCTTTAGGGAGAAGTTTTCCTCGAAGATTAATCTAAATTCAGGGTACCCTTAGATCCAGATGAGGCTCAAGGATGTTCTCAAGACGGCATTTAGAATTGATGAGGGACACTATGAGTTTTTAGTGATGCCTTTTGGCCTCAGTAATGCCCCAGCTACTTTCTATCCCCTGATGAACAGGGTATTCCAACCATATCTGCAGAGGTTTGTGTCAATCTTCTTTGATGATATATTAAGTTACAGCGGGACTAAGGAGGAGCACTTAGAATACTTGATATTGGTGTTACCTACTCAGAGGAACCACCACTTATTTGTCAATCTGAAGAAGTGCTCATTTGCCAAGCCTAGAGTGGAGTATTTATAGCACGTGGTATGTCACACTCCATGATTTATATTAGAAGAATTACATCTATCTTTCATTTTAGTTGTGGAGTATTTGTTCTCTTAGTTGTGGACCTGGAGGCATTGGAAGGAAAAGTCAACAAGATGAAGGATTGGAGAAAATCATGAGAGATTTATTGTAGCCATCCAAGTTATACCTTAGTCAATCAAAAATTATTATACCAAGGATGAATGGTGATACCGATGATGTCGCCATATGTATCCCACTTAGTATGGGAGTTTCGCAGTAGTGTCATAGGTGGGCACTCGGGGGTACAAAAGACATATCGCAGGCTAGCAGTTGAATGCAAAAAGATGTGAAGGATATGGTGATCAGCTGCAATTTCTGTCAGAGACACAAATATATGGTAATGGCTCTAGGAGGACTTCTGCAACCTCTGACTCAAAATATATGCAATTTCTGTCAAGAAGATGTGGGAAGAGATAACCATGGATTTCGTTGAAAGTTTATCAAAATTGAGGGGGTTTTGGTGATTTTGGTAAAAGTGGATATGCTAAGTCCATTGTGTTCCCTTCATTTCCTCACGACACCAATACACAGCAGTTTTAGTGGTAGCAACATTTATTCGAGAGGTGGTCTGCCTACATGAATTTCGAAGTCCATTGTGTCAGATAAAGATAAGGTGTTCCTAAGCCATTTTTTTCAAAATGCAGGGGACCATTTTGAAAAGAAGTACAGCATACCTTCCACAGATGGATGGGCAGATCGAGGTGATGAACATGAGTGTGGAGACTTATTTGAGATGTTTTGTATCAGAAACACCCAAGTCCTAAGTGAAGTGGTTACCTTGGGCCGAGTACTGGTACAATACATCCTACCATAGTGCAGCATAGACTACACCCCTCAAAATAATTATGGAAGAAATCCTCCTCACCTGGTATACTACGAGACTAAGAGCACTCCAATTTTATCAGTGCAAAAATAGTTGGAAGAATGTGATAGCATATTAGGAGAGCTAAAGGGGCACCTACTGAGGGCACAACAAATTATAAAGAAGCAGGCTGACGGGCATACAAGGGATGTGCAATTTGAGGTGGGTGATAAGGTACATTTGAAGATTCCACCCTACAAATAGAAGACTTTAGCTCGAAGAAGAAATGAAAGGTTATCTCCATTGTATTATGAGCTTATGAGGTTGTGGAGGGAATTGGTGTCATGGCGTATCATTTGCAACTACCCCTACTTCTACATACACCCAGTATTCCATGTGTCCTAGTTGAGGAAAGTTACTGGTGAGCATAGTCCATCAGTGACGTTGTCGATGACCTTGACAGAAGAAATGGAGGTGATCCTAAAGCATATGAAAGTGAGAGGAGTTCGCTTGACAACCGAAGGAGCTAGAGAAGTGCTAATTGAGTGGACCAATATGCCCGCCTATGAAGCAACATGAGAACCATACAGATGATTCAATATTAATTTCTTTGGTTTCACCTTAAGGGCAAGGTGACTCTTTAGGAGGGAAGTATTGATGGACCGACTGAGTCAATCCAGTCAATCAACCTGCCCCAAGCAAGGGGGCCCGGTCTAGCTGGCCAGTATAAGAGCTCTATGGGCCCCACTAGTGTGGTCGGCAGGCAAGGAGAGAGGGGGCTCAAAGGGGATTAATTCAACCTTTAACTACTTATCATAGAAAATCAAAATTGACAGGAAATTAGGAAGGTTCATTTAGGGAAAGAGAGCTTATTTGAATTCAGATTTTGGGAGGGAATTAGGAGGTTTATTTAAAGAAAGAGTGCCGATTTGAATTCAAATTTGGGAGGAAATTAGGAAGGATTATTTATGATTAATTAGGTTGTTTTATTTTCATTATGTCATTTTTGTATTTTGGAGTAATTTCTTTATAGTGTTCCTAACGGCGCCTAGGGTTTGTGGAGAGTCGATCTACCTCTCGAATAGTAGATTTACTTGTATCTTGGTTTGTTGTGCCGATATCAATAAAATTGGCCCATAATCTCATTATTTCCTGCTTATTTCTCCTCATTATTGTTGCTTTTTTGTTGTGTGGAGATCGAATTCCTATCACATGTTTAGATGCTTGGCTTGCACTGAGGAAGATCAAGCATTATTAAGATACCCCCTAGAGTTTCAATGATCAATGATGACATCCAATGGAACAAACTTAAATTTCATCAAACCACAAAATTAAAATTATAACCTAATAATTCGAACTACACATTCAACTAGAATTCAACCTGATTACAACTGAAAAATTCAGTTTTAAAAACCCATGTCAGTTCGGAGTCATCTTCTAGTTGGCGTAATCAGCCCAAATCAATTCAGGCCAAGTTGACCCATAACCCCAAAGTCAAATGCTTTCATTTGTTAAGAAAAAGGAAAAAAAATTATTAAAATGGCGAACTGCTAAGGAATAAATAAAATATTATGACCCAATCAATGCCCAAAGCCATAGTAAGGCATTCAAAGAATGTTAGTATTTGATAGCTATAAAGAAGTAGAGTAATAATTAAAAAAAAAAAAAATGCACACCTCGTAATGTTTAACTCTTCTAATTCTTTGTAGTTATCACCTATGAGAAGCAAACTTCGGTCCGAGATGCTCTGCAAATTAGTGGCATAACTCAGGATGAAGGATTTTTCATGAAAGAGATGTATTTTAAAACTAGCATCAAAGTTATTGTCCTTGACTAGCATAGCATATTAAAATGCACAAGTCACTGAAAACTTAGAAGCCCATTTCAAATTACCCTTAATTAGAAAAAGTCATATAGTAAACCTAAGATTTTTTCAGGCAATATTGTCTAAGAAACTATACAATTCTAACGCTGGTGAAGCATAATAATCTTGCACTTATTTCCATCCAAGATAAGCAGAGTAGTTAAGCAAAATGCAGTAACGTGCCCTTTACATATCCAAATGGTTCTAGTAGAAGAAACCATAACTAAAATAAGTACATTTCTCCCGGGGACAAAATTAACATATATTAAAGAAATTTTGCATTGCAGCTATTTTATCCATTTTTCCTTGAACTAAACCAAGCTTATAGGTACAAAAAAATTGAAAAGTTGATTGAATTATTTTGTCCATTTTCCATAAATAAATTCAATATGTTGAGAGAAAGTAGCCAATAGAAAACCGTTAATTGGCTCAAAAGGTAAATAGAACTAGTTCAGAGTTAAGTAGAGAAGACAGAGCGATTAACCACATGGACAACAACCAAATGGCATGACCACAACTACTGTATTAATGAATCCTAGTCACACTGAACTTGATCCTTAAAACATATTAACAACCCGCAAATTATGGGCATTCAAGCAGCAAGGTGCATTCAGTTTACTTCTTTTAAATTGTGGTCAAAGAGAACCGCATGCACAAACTATGAGATGGAAACAAAATGTGTATTATAAGATTTTCAAAATAAATAAGAGAACTTAAAAGGTACTTAGAATAAGAATGCTTTAAATGTAACTAAATTGAAAAAAAAAAACAATTATAACAAATTTATGATCAAAGCAAAGAAATTAAAAAAAAAATAGCTTCAAGACAAGGCTCGTTTGCATAAAATACTCAAGTTTATACAGTGTATAGTACACAGTTTGCTAAAAACCTCATTTTTTTTCAGTACACAAGATTTCCGTAGGCTTATTGAGCAATGTGAAGGTTGTTAAGCGAGTAGTTGACCTCTTAACATTGTTATGTGCATTGCTGTCGATTAATCCTACCTATGCAGATAAGTATCTTTGTGACAATTCAGCGAGTAAGAGGGGTTAAATGAGGAAAATGCAAGAATCATTAAAGCATTGTGTTTCAGATCAAAGGTTCAGTACAGATCATAAGCGTGCTAAAAAACATAATATTATAATGAATTTCATTACCTTGCATCCACTAAGGTTTAGATAAGATATATGTTTGCAATGCTTCACAAGGAATTTTATGCTCATGTCCGTCACCCTGAATCCAACTAATAAAAGGATTAGTAGGATACTTTCCATAGATCAGAAATAGCTCTTGCAGTGTAAAAATTTGAAGCAACAAAGCATACCTAACATTCCAGTAGATAGAAAATATCCTAAGTTTAGGACAAGCAATTGTTACAGCTTCAATTCCCTTATCAGAAATTTTCTGACAGCCATTGAGATTTAGAGATTCTAGGTGCCGAACATGCTCCATTACCTGAAAATCAATGGGAAAGTAATTCTGTAAGAAATTTGGGTAACATTGTCAAAATTATCTTAGAAAGCATCAGATAATGAACATTTGTTCTGCAAATTGAGTTTACCTATACTATATATTAAGCCACAATGAGAGAAACTGAGTATTATTTCTATGGCTTCAAGTTAAGGAGTGAGCTCCATTCCAAAGGATCATTTTTTTCTTTTCTTTTAAAGAGAAGAGAAGGAATCGTATATATAGAAGATGCAATTATGAAATGAAAAATTCACATCTATTTGCTCTATCTAATCTACATCTATAATAAATAAACAAAGTCATGAAAGAGAAAATCACATCCATCCAATCCACATACACACACACCACAATGAGAGAAATTGAGTATCATTTCTATGGCTTCAGGCTTCAAGTTAAGGAGTGAGCTCCATTCCAAAGGATTATTTTTTTCCTTTTCTTTTAAAGAGAAGATAAGGAATCGTATATTTACAAGATACAATTATGAAATAAGAAATTCACATCTATTTGATATATCTAATCTACATCTATAATAAATAAACAAAGTCATGAAAGAGAAAATCACATACATCCACTATATATATATATACATATACTAATTACAAAAAGAAAATGCTTCTCTTCTTTTATTAATCCTTCTATTTATGTATTCTCATTTTTGAGAAGTGAAAATACTTAATATACAAAAAGAGAAGAATCAAAATGATCTATTGATTCTTTATGAAATATCAAAATAGTCCCCAAATATATTAAAAGCCCATTTTGGTCCATAAACTCTTTGAAGAGGAACCAAAATAATCCCACCATAGGACTATTTTGATTCATTTCTAAATACTTGACGGAAAAAAATGATCCTTAAATACATTTGTGGATCATTTTAGCCCTTCATAAAGAATCAGAGGACCAATTTGATCTTTTTTTCTATATAAAAATTATCATAAAAAAAGGAAAGGCGTATCAATCTTATTTTTTGAATATATAACTAGAAGGATTAATAAAAAAAGAGATTTTTTTTATTAATTCTTCTATTTATATCATCTCGATTCTTTTCAAACTTGCTATTCTTTTAGTTAGAAGAGAAAGAAAATAATCGGCAAGTATTATGATAAAATTATGAAAAGTCATATATTTTTTTAATATATATAATCTAATCTACATATTCGGCATCATTTTAATCAATCAAATCTCCATTTAATTAATATGGAAAAATCAAATTGAGGTATTCAACTAACCTTAATTTTCTTTTTCTTTTTTCTTTTTTTTTTTTGGCATCAAGCAATGATGTGACTTCAATTATTGATCTAATTATACTATACTCAAGTACTTTTAATGGTTTGGCATGTTGTGAAAATCATATAATAATTTATCAATTTTACCCTCCTAAATAAGATTAGGTGTAATTACCATTTATGTTAAAATAAACATAATTCCATGCAAAAACTAAGGGAAATACAAATATTAATCTTTCTTTTATTATTATTATTATCAAGAATTGTCACAATAATAATATTTTTTAGTCTCCCATGTATTGCATGGGATCACTTTCTTGTAAATTTGTTAAATCACATATAGGCCTTTGGTTTAGTCCTCTCACAAGTCCACAAACTTTATGTTGTAGCTAGGTTGTATGAATAGGACAATTTAGTAGATATATCAACTCAGATCACTTAAATTTTCATCATGAAAAAGCTGGGACTAAGCTCTTCTCATAAAAAAAGACGGAGAAAAAGATACCATGGGAGATTACAAGTTAGGAAAGTGCACATAACACTGATAACAATTGAGAGGAAAATACAATATAATGTAATCAGCTGTACTGTTAAGGACAACAAGTTGGTAAAGAAACCCTTAACCAAATATTATGAATAGAATTGCAATTAAGGATCATATGGGTTTTATTTCAAACTATAAATTACAGGTGCAGCACACTTTGGAAGGTACAATATTCAACATGAACAAGAAGAATTTGCTTCAATATTTTCCTGAGGAAAATCAGACAAGCCAAAGCAGAGACCCTAAGAGAGAGATGGACTTCTATATCCACATGTAGCCAATAGTGATGATGATGCGGACATCAAGCCGTCCATGCCTATCCGAGGAGGAGCTGAAGATCGACGACCGAGATCACTTTGTTTTATTTTAGTTTATTAAGTGTATTTTGATTTAATTGTACAATTTCCTTTTTTACCCTCTTGTCTTATTTAAGCCCAAGGGGCAAATGTGTCTTTTAATTTCTTTTGAGGCCTATATATAGAGGCCCCTTCTCATGTATTAGGTATGATGGAATTATAATAAAAATTTGTGTTTTGCACTTGTGTTCTTTGGGAAGAACCTTGGGTGAGATTCCTATGGGAGGAATTCATAGTTTTGACCAGCCACAGGATGGGTCCGGGCTCGTGGCTTGAAGGCCCTTGGAGGAGGGCAATGTATCACCCGTCAGTCTTCGGAAGAGTTCAATGCTCGCGGTTTTATCTTTTATCTTTTATTTTTGTTCCTTCTTGTTGTTTCTAGTCGTCTTCTTCATCCTCTCCCTACTTCCACCAACACGTCGTCTCCATATCCACCTTGTCGCCGGCCTCTTAACCGCCCCATTCAACTGCCGGCCTCCCCTCACCAATTCACTTCCCTAGTCAATCCACCCCCCTTCCCTCATAATTGCCCTTCATTATGATGATTTCAATCATCATAATGATTCCCTAATTTAGCTACGCATAAGAGGGAAAATTCGAATTCATTTGAAATTCAAATTTCGAATTTCGAATTCTTTCCATTTTTAGAATTCCAAAATAGGAAAGTTAATCATGAAATCCATCTAATTCAATATAGATTGGATTCAATATTAATTTTGCTAAGTCATAATCCTTGTTTGAAAACCTCCTTTGAAAAACCTTGATTGTTCAATCAAATTTGAATTTTGAAATCTTTTCAAATTTAGAACTCCATTTTTGGAAAGTTTTCAAGTCAAATCCACATTAATCTCTAATTGGATTGGATTTAAAATTCCCCATTCATACCTTCCATATTTAGCCCCTTGTGTTTTAGGAAATGAATTGAATTCAAATTCAAAATAATTTGAATTTCAAATGCTTTCTAATTAAGCCTATGCCCTTGAAGGAAATAATCATCAATCACCCTAAACCTGAGATTAATTCTCAGATTTAGTCATTAATTACAATTCATTGCTTGGTCCACATTCATTGAACTTGGACACAACTTCCCCCCCCCCTCTCTCTAGGCCGGCCCACCCCTCTCTCCTTGCCATTAATGACTCCCTAATCACTCCCTGAATTTTAGTTAATTCAAATTCAAATTGAGAGTGATTTAATCCAATCAATCCTAATTGGAAGTTATTAATTAGGCAAGCCATTAAACCTTCACCTAATCCCTCTCCTTCCCCCTCATGCCACCGGCCCACCCTCTCACTTTCTCTCTACCCACCGCCCACATCAAATCCTGGCTCCTAAACCTATTCTACTGCTGTTTAGATAGTTCCCAAAGGCTGTCATGAGTTTTTCCTGCATTGTGACCTGCTGTCCAACTGGTTGGTAGATCCCTGATTGCTGTCCCCCATCCAGAAGTGCCAAAATCAGCCAGGAAAGATGTCCAAGGAGGCCTCCCAGCTGCTATCCAGCTGATCGGATAATCACAGGTTGCTGCCATCAATTCTGGGACGTCAAAATCAGCAAGGAGGCTGTCCAGGAAGACCTCCCACCTGCTATCCAGTGAAGATTGGAGTTTCATTTCACCTTTGTCATTAGAGATCCCCAACATTACTAGTTGCTGTCCAAGACTTCTAAGAACCAAAAGCTGCTGTTTAGACCTCACGATTTGCTCTTCAAGACCCATAGGACTCAAAACCCCATACACGTTCTACATCATATGATTCCACCCTTACAAAGAAAGAAGAAAAATAATTTCACATTGAAATTCCCCTTATTAACCACCCTACCAGAAGAATCCCCTAAACAACAAGTGATAGGATAAATTAAAAAATATAAATGATTCACTACATCCTGATAGTACGTAGGAATAATCCTATGCCAATGAATTAGATAAATCAGGAAAAACTTTTCAATCGGGATCCCAAGCAATCCAAAACAAATCTCTGACAACAGTAGATAAAGGGATGTACATAAATCGTTCATCATTCCAAAATCTTGTAGAGCGGCAAGCCGGCAACTATTAACTTTTCAAGAGATGTTCTGACAGAAGGGCTAAAATGGTTTTCCTAATTCCTTTAGGGGCCATTTTGTTGCAAGTATTTTGAATTCTAAAGTATTATAAATAAAATGTAAGGTGAAATGATATATTTGAAATACTTTGTTACCGTTTGATTGCATGTAAAATAAATTTAGCAACTGAATTTTTTTGTATTTGGTTGCTTTCAAAATAAAACTAATATTTGAATATTGCATTGTCAAGTAGGTGGGGCCGCAATGATGAGTGGAGAAAAATGATGACCGGCCGTGGTGACCTAGCACTGACAATGTGTTGAGCCTGGTGGTGTCAAGTGTAGCAGTGATGATTAGAGGCGATGGTGGCAGACAACGATCGATAATGACCACCAGGAGTAATTACTGGTAGTAGAGGCGGTGGCTAGGGGTGTCAATTTCGGGACACGGGTTCGGTTTGGGTCGAACCTAAAACTGACCCAATACTATTCGAGTCAACCCGAACCCGACCCGTTTTTGCAAGCGAGCCGATTTTTGGGACCCGAACCCGACCCACTCCAGGTTCGGGTCAACCCGACCCGTTCCGACACGATGAGGCGACTGCGGTTTGTGACTTTACGGTCTGATGTTTGCGGGAGTGCGACAGACGCAGTTTTGCGGGCTGTGGTTTGTCGTTTGCGGTCTGCTAAAGCCCAGAGGGTTGAAGTGTTGAACGCGGAAAGGCGAGGTGAGGAAGCGCCACGACGGCAATGGCAGGCCTGCAGCGGACACAAGCACGGAATGTGGTATCGTTTCGGACTGCGACAATGGATGATT